TATTTTATATTATTAATTTTTATTTTATTTATTAAGAATTTATTTTATTATAGTAAAAAAATGGAAGCATTATTCATATTATGAAAATAAAATATTATAATATTATAAAAAATGTATATTCATTATAATTATACAAAAAGAAAATAAAAAAATTTTCATTTACAATTGAATTAGTAAAATATGTATAAGTATATGGATTGATAAAGCATTTATATAATAATCATTTAAAATATTAGTCAGAAGTATGTTAAATAATCAAAAATCCTAAGTTAGTATCTTGTGAACCATTTTATTTTAATAAAAAATTTTTATTATATTTAATTTTTTATATATTTAAAATTAAAAAATTTATGAAATTGAATATAATAAAATAATTAATTTATATTAAATTAAATATTATAAATAATTTAAAATTTTTTAAAAAGATCTAGTATAGAAGATATAAATTAATAAAGCTATATTTCAGAGTAATACATTAATTATTTTAACTTTATAAAATACTAAAAATTAGTTAGAATTTTTAAAAAAAAATAGATAAATTTTATTTAATTAATTAATTAAAAAATTTATTAAACTTATAAATTTTAGTAATAGTAAGACTAATAAATATAAACTTTATAAAAATTACTATAATTGTATTAGAAATAAATCTTTTATATTTAAGATAGAGATAATATAGAAATTAATTATAATTAGTGATAAATAAGTATCATATAGTTGTACCTAGTTGTAATGTTATTAAAAATTGAATTATAACTAATTGTAACTAATAATAAATAAGTATTACAAGATTGCAATTAATTATTATATCATAATAAATTAAAAGTAAATTAAAAAAAAAACATTTTTTTAATATTATAAAAAAAAAATTAGTCAAAAAATAAGAAAATTATATTTAATAATGATTATTGATTTATATTATTTATAATAATTTTTTTAAATAGATTTAATATAAGGTTAATAAAAGATATAATAAATATTATATGATTTAATTATAAAATAATTTATCTAAAATAATAATTTAGAATTATTTCTATAAAGATAAAGTTAAATTTTTAGTATTATTAAAAAATTAATAATTGGTAAAAATATTTTTAATTATTTAACAATTATCTTTTATCTTTTCTTAATAAATTAAAATAAAATAAATATATATTTTAGAGTAATAATAATTTACTTTAGTGTTAATTAATTTTGATAATATTAAAATTAATTATATCAATTCAATATTTATTATAAATTATTAATAAAATAATTACATCTGTCAAAATATAATTTAATTTAATATTTTGTTAATTTGTGTAAAAGTATAAATAATATCTTATATTTATATTAAAAGTTTAAAAAGAAAATATTTTAAAAAATAAGAGATATATTAAATTTAAAAAATTAATAAAATTAGTAAATAGTATATTAAAAAAGATAATAAAGTAATTTTACTTATATTTTAAATAAAAAAATTTTATATTAACTTTATTAATAAAATTTTAAAAAATGATTATTTAAAATTGCTTTATAATATATAAAATAAAATATTTAAATGCTTTTAGCCAATATGTTAAAGAGTATATCAAACTGCTTCTTCTGAACAAGAATTTATTAAAGAAGAAATTGATAAAATACTAAAGAATAAATTGATATAACTATCTGAAAGTCCTGAACTTTATCTATAGTTTTAATAAAAAAGAAAAATAGTAAACTAAGGTTCTATGTTGATTTTGATAATATTATCATTATAGATTTTTTTTAACTTAAATTAACTATATTTTTAAATTTTTATTTAAAATTACTATTATTATGACTAAAATATTAAGATTTTAATTTTATAAAATTAAATTATTAGATTAATAAATCCATTAAGTATAAAGGCTTGAAAGATAAAATTATAAGAATTTTAATTAGAAAATTTAATAATAAACTTAATTACAAATTTTTGTATGAGTTTATATTAAACTATATAAAGACATAAAGAAGCAGAAATTTATAAGTTTTAATTGATTCTTTTATTATAATACTGAAATTTATGCTTAAGTTAATTTATAATATAAGTAAAAAGTTTTCTATATATTTACTATAGTTAACTAATTATTATATATAAATTAATTAATTTAATATATATAAAAATATTAATAAAAAATAGTAACTGTTTTAGTCTAAAGCATAATTTCAGATAATAGAACTTATAATAAAAATCATAATTTATTGATTTATGTTTAATTTTTTATTGTATTTGATATTTTTTTAATATTTAATTTCTGTAAATGTATGATATAATATTAATATTATAGAATTTTACTGAGTAATAATATACAAGATAAAATATTATTGCATTTGATATGCTTAATATTTATTTAATTATTCTTCACTATACTTTGAATGTAATAATACATAATAAATAAGAATATTAAAAATAGTATTTTATTAAATATTTTAAACTTTGTTTAAGGTATAAAAGTAAAATTATTTATGATATCAACTAAATTTTATAATTTATTTATATTCATAGTATTCACAGAATTTGTAAAATTCTGTATTAGAAGATCATTATACTATGTGATTAATCTAAAATGAAATATAGGACTATATATATATAAAGTCTAAAATTACATATAAATCTATCTATTTATCTACTCAATAATTGAGTTAATGCTGATTACAGTCAACTCTTAATATAGCGAACTCTTGATATAACGAATTTTTTGAACAAATATAATAAAAATACTCTTGTTATAGCAAATTGGCCAATCAAATCTCTTAAAATCTTCACTATAACCTTATAGTGAAGTTGAGATCTAGGACATAGAGTTCGTTATAATAAAAGTTGACTGTAGTCTTTGCAATTACACAAAAGTCTAGATAAAGTAAATACTAGTAGATTTTTCTAGACTTAATAATGATTTCCCTTTCCTAGTTTATGTAACTTTATTTTCATTAATTAATTACTTTGTTAACTGTATAAATATATTTTAATATTTTTTTAATTAACTAGCTTTTATTTTAACTTAAAAGTAAAATTTTTTTTTAAATTATTTTAAAATAATAATTAATATTATTATAACTAGTAAAATAAAAATATATTATATCTTTTTTTTATCATTTTAATAAAAGTATTTTATATTAATTTTTATAATTAAAAGTTAAGGTTACTTATATAAATTCATTTTAGATTTATAAAATATTTAAACTTTAATTTCATTAATTTTTTATTAATATTTAAATATAATTTCATATTTTTATAAACTTTGATATAGTTTTACCTTTTTCTGAGATTTATATATTTTTTAATATAATTTTTAAATATCTTACAAAACCTTTAAATTTCATTTAACAATCTTATTAATAGTAAAATTTACTTTAAAAGATAATGATAATATATAAAATGAATATTTAGTTTTAAAGTTAAAATAAAAAAAATAAAAAATAAATTATTAAGTTAAATTAAATAATAAACATTAAGAAGTAATAAATATTTATTAATAATTTAAAAACAAAAAATTGTGAGATTTAATATATATATTTATTATTCAAAAACTAATTAGTAAAAATTAAATAATCATAAAAAAGCAGAAATAATAACTATATTAAATCAAGTTAATGTAATTTAATGGTTAATAAAATTATTTTGTAAAAAGATTAGTTTTAGCTAATCTATAATTTTATTTAAGAAAAAAAAGTAATTTTATTTGCTTATTTTAAATAATTATTTAATTAACTTTTATTTTTTAATTAATAGCATTGAGAAATGAAATTTGGTTTAAAAAACTTATGTTGATAAAACAATTTTAAAAGGATTTATACATGAAATATGCAAATTAAATAAAAATTAATCTTGTTAAATCATAAGATTTAAAATTATTAAGGATTATAAGTTATAGGAATTTTATAAGAACAAATACATTTACAATCATGAAATCAAAGAAATAAAGAACAAACAAATATAATGAATTAAATATTAAAATTATAATACTAATAAAAATAAAAGTATAATTTATATATATATATATAATATTTTTTTAAAAAAAATTCTATTAATAATTAATATTTATAAACTAATATTAAAAAATATACCAAATAATAACTTGAATAGATTTTAAGAAATTCTGATTTTATGACTATAAAGAGCAATGTTGACAATTTTATCATTCCAATTGCATGAATTGGACAATTGGACATATAAAATTCGTAGTCCAATTCAAATTGTGCCGCAGTTTTACTAAGTCCAATTGGTCCAATTGCCAACACCGTTAAAGAGAATATACTTTTAAAATTTAATGCTTAATTTATAATTATACTAATGTTCTTTTTAAATAAAATTAGCAATGCAAAAATCTTTAGTTGAATCCAATAACAATTCATTAGAACATTTATTATCTTTAAATGGAGGATTGGCTAACTTTAATATTAAAATTAATATTGCCGATAATTAAAAACATATTACATTGTTTATGAATGACTAAATACTGCGGCACTATCTTTGACTTGTAACCAATCAGTTTTACGTATAAGGATCAAAAAAAAAATTTTTTTTTTTTGATTATAAATATAGATCAGAATAAAACCATCTTGTTCTTCCCTTTCAAAGCTTCTCACAAAAAAGCTAGAGTAATCAATCATGGTGGTATGTATCAACGAAGAATTTTGAATCCTTGTAAATCAAGAAAAGTTCTTGACGGATGAAATTGCGTGGAATTATTTTTCTTGTTAAACTCCGTTAAAAAATTGAGTCGACTGCGGGTTCTCTTTTTACCAAATTTTGAACTTCAATATGGATATTTTAACCTTGAGACATTGCTTTAGGATTCAATTTTAATTTATTTTGTCTAGAAAGAATCCCAGTTTTGAATTGTTTTAGTAACCGTTTTTTTTTTCTTTTTCTTTTCTCTTTTTTTTTTTTGATACAAACTAATAAGTTAACCACAGATCTTCTCAACCCATCTCCTGAACATGAAAAACGCCAACACAAGCTCAAGAGGTTGGTTCAAAGCCCGAATTCTTACTTCATGGACGTAAAGTGTCCTGGTATGCTTAAAGATTTCTTAATTAATTTTAATTTTTTAATTTTCAATGATTTTCTTACTAATTCTTTTAATTCTTTCTAATTCTTTCTATTAGGTTGTTTCAGTATCACAACCGTATTTAGTCATGCTCAAACTGTCGTATTGTGTGGTTCTTGTGCAAACGTTTTATGCCAACCAACCGGAGGTCGTGCTCGTCTAACCGAAGGTATAATTAAATCAAACCATTTCATATTAATATTATTTAATCCCATCTAATTCGGTTCTAATTATTATTGATTTAGGTTGTTCTTTTCGAAGAAAAATAGGTTAAAATCATCGATTGCATTAATATTAATAAAAAAAATAAAAAAAAGTGTTTTAGACAGAAAAGGTAGTGAGAAAGAATTACCCTTCTGTATAATCA